ACAAAGAGACACAAAACAACCACAAAGACTCAAACACAAAGAGACCAAGACATGAATTCTAACAAACACGACATGACATTACATCAGAAGTAACACACAACAGCAAACACAATGACCAAATCCTCCAGATGATTGGATTATTTGATTATCCAGTAATCACAGTATCCGGATCAATTAAAAAGGACACATCAGAATAAACCTGTGAACTGAGCATGTGTTCACAAACCGTCTTCAGTGATTCTTAACAAGCTGCTTTATCTCACATCTGCAAAGTCTGTGGCTTCAACGACCACAAACACTGATCAGAAACAAGCACGTGTTTTATCTGTTCTGAGGTTTGAGGTCAGATTCTGTTGCTTCTGTTTTAAACACACAGAACATCACGAGACACTAAAACCATACGACATCGAACACAGCGGACGTGTTAAACAGAGACAGACGCAGATTTCCTCCAGGATTTATTAGAACAACAGAGTACAGATCCATAACTGATCAATATGATGGATTTAAAAGCAGGTTGGTGAATAAACACAGTGACATCAGCGTCAACAGGAAGTAAACAGATGTGATGTCATCAGAAGCAGGCAACAGGAAAACAAACAAGGCTTCAAAACAAGAGTCGCCAGGTGATCGCACCTGAACAAACGTTAACACTGAACACGTTTAGCTCATTTTCGTTGAACTGAACTGTGATTTTCTTAAAACCAAACAAAGCGTTTGTGTAAATGAACGTATTTACAGTTTGTTATTGTGGTGATATCAGTAAACTGTTTTAATGCATTTAATCTGTTACTGAGCTGCAGGTCTGAAGTGTTCCAGGTGTTTTAGGTGCATCACTGGACGTTGCACCTGCTCATCCGTCCATTTGGTTCTGCACAGGCTCAGCAACAGATGAGTGAACTCCACCCCACCGATCACTGCTCCCACACTGATCCTCTTCTCATCACGTTAAAGTCTCCTCAGAATGAGTCTGCAGGTGTTTCAGCTTGGAAATGGCTGATTTCATGACCGTTTGCCTCCTGCTGAATCCTGTTTGAAACAGGCTTTTTCAGCGTCTGTCACTTTAAATGTTGCTGCTGCAGCTGGCTCCGCCCCCTTCAGGAACAAGGCTCTCTGATTGAACAGGTGTGTGGGAGCAGGATCTTCTAACTTTCTCTCTGAGGATCATTGTACATGGAAATACCTGTGAATTCTCAGCACAGCAGTTTTTTAAAAAAAAACTACAACATGAAGGTTATCAGACCAGTATTTTTGCTGCAGAGAAACACCCTGGACATAAAGTGACTGTTGGTTAACATGTAGTCTTAATATGCTGTGATTCAGTGTCTACTTCATACTTGCTCTGCTGTCTGACAAAAGAAGAATCTGTAAATGAGAACAGCATTATTTTGAATTCAGTTGTATTAAAATACAGTTTATATGAGCACAGAGAGCAGGAGAGAAGCGAACGGATGTAAACAGCAGCTGAGTTAAGGGTTGAACAGGTGACATGAGGACACAGTGACCCACCCAGGCCTCGTTTACTGGTTTAACTTAAAGTTTCCTCCATCTCTGAATGTCCCTCAGTGTTACAGTCTCCACAGAGCTCTGACTGGTGGGCACACCGTCAAAGCTCATGATTTTCCTATTTAGTGTGACTAATGCTAATGCTAGCCACATTAGCCACACAGCTTGCTAACACTGTTGTTGTAGTGACATTTCTATCAGTAATAACCGTAATCCACTGGGTGCTCAGTTCCTCCAGCGAAGGGATGCATGAAGACTTTTGTTCTCACTCTTGCAGCCAAGCTTTACTCAGGGCTCAGACTTTATAAAGTTAACAGAAGCAGCTCTCGAAAGCAAAATAAATTGGACTTTGAGGCAGCTGCTCTTTCTGAATCGTTCACCTGGAAGCAGTGAGCGGGCGGAGTTGAACCACTATTGATCGGATGGCTGTGAGGTAGCACCTGGGTCAGATTCTTACTGGTTTATAAAGCTGTGACGCTAAATAGCTGTGAGGGGGCTGCGAAAATAAGCATCTTAATTTCTAAACAGCTTTAACACAATGAAAGTGGATTTTCACCACATGGGACCTTCAGCGTTTGGTCAGATTTACCGCTTATAGATCTAATGAAGAATCTCCTTCTAGAAATGTTTTTTTCCTGTCAAACACCAGCAGCAGGTGTTGAGTGTTATCAGGGCTTGATTCATAATCAATCATCTCATCAATTAGCTCAGTGTTCATCAGAGTGTCTCCTCTCAACTGAAGGCTCTTCAATAAAATCTAAAAATTAAAACATCAACGCTTAATGACAAGAAAGTTGATTAAAAAGCTGAAGACGTCAGACTGTTTGTGATATTACAGGTTAGTCTGTCATGTCATGGGTTGGTCTGTGACGTCAAAAGGTTAGTTGGTGACTTCACAATAGTCAGAATGGTGACATGTTTCTTCCCTCCACCTCTGCACGGTGTCATCGTCAGGAACGATCCATTCAGAATTCAACATCACAAATCACATTATCAGATCAGCTGATCAGTTCTCTGTGTTGGTCCCAGCTGACCTGAGCAAAGGCTGAAACCAGACACGAGGACAGGTGACCAGATGATCCAGGTACAGGTGAGTCAGGTGACCAGATGATCCGGGTACAGGTGAGTCAGGTGACCAGATGATCCGGGTACAGAGGAGTCAGGTGATCAGGTGGAATGCTGAGTGAGTTCGTGATCGGAGGTGGAGCTTGTCTGACGCTCCACTGCTCGCTGAGCCTTACAGGCTGCCATCTTGGCCTGGATGTCCCTCTTTTTCTCAAAATAGTCGACAAGCGGCGGCTCGGTCAACATTGACGCCAGAACCTGCTCGAAGGTGATGGACCAATCGACATCCAGCACGCTGCCACGCCTCTGCTCGCCGCCGCCAATCAGCACGGTGTCGTCGGCGATGTCCTCACACTGCAGCGAGCCTGAGCTCACTACCGAGTACGACGACACAGATGTGTCGTCTTTGGTTTCGTCGTCGGGCGTCTGTGGAGCGGCCGGCTCCAGCTGGGCGTCGGCCAGAGCCTGGCACACCTGAGACTCACCCGACAGCCCCTCACCAGGCCCCTCCTCTCCCTGAGGGTTGATGGGCGGGGCCTGAGCAGCGATATCAGTCTTCTTGCCGCCGTTGTTGAACTTCTTGCCGACCTCTCCGATGCGCAGCAGCAGGCTGGCCACGGTGGCGATGGAGTGGTACAGCTGCTGCTCCAGAGGCTCCTCGCTGAACATGTTGTACAGAGTCTTACACAGCTCAATGAACTGCTCCTGCACACAAACACAGACGGGTTAACACACACACACACACACACACTCACATTCACCTGCAGCGCGACTCACCTGGTTCATCCTGGGCAGATCCTTGATGGTCTCTCTCTTGGGCTCCTTCTCTTTGGCCCACATCCTCAGGTAGTATTTGTAGTCTTTCACCTCTGAAAGAGAAGCAGAATCACACGTTGTTTCTGCTTTAAAGACTGAAGTCAGGCAGCTAAAGTCTCTGAGAGCAACAAGGGTTTCATGTCAGAGGTGTGTGTGTGTTTCCATGTGTGAGCCTGTGTGTAGTTTCTGCTGATGCTGCAGAAGTCGTAGCAGACCAGAGCTGTTTCCTTGTGGCAGCAGGTTAGCTGAGCGTACGGAGGGCTGAGGGTCTTGGTCTTTGCTTTTCGTACATGCTGGATAATTTTTTGCCATTTTAGAGAAGTTTTAAGTCTTGTTGGCTTTTAATAGACCAAACAATTAAACAATGAATCCAGAAAACAGTCAACAGATTACTGGACAATAATAAAACACTCTGGTAACTGCAGCCATGGGATGGAGAGCTGAGCATCTTGGTGTTTTCCTCCAGGTGATGCTGGGAAGGTTTGGTTGGACAAAGTTTGAGTCACTGTGGAGGGATTTTTAATTTCTATTTTCAGCAGGAGGTGGAGCATTTACCTTTCTTCTCCTCATTGTCTCCTCCTCCATCCTTCTCGTCCTCACCTGTTCATGGAGAGAAGATCACCATCATCATCACCACAATGACTGTAGCAGAGGGTAAAATCTTTATGTGACGTAACAAACTACGTGTCGGCTGACTGCAATAGAACAGTCAGTGGCCAGAATAAAATCTCATCTGAGCTTCCTTAAACTGGAAAGACACAAACCTGGTGTCACCTCGTGCTGCTGCAAAGTGTCCAGATCAGACAGGAAGGAAGATTCTGGAGAAACATCACATGAGAAAGAAGAAGCAGCATAGGAGAGGAAGAGGAAGCAGTGGAAGGAGAGGAAGCAGAAGAAACCAAAGATCAAGAAGAAGAAGAAGATGAAGAAGCAAAAGAGGAAGCAGAACAAGAAGCCGCAGCATCAGCAAAAGAAGCAGAAGAAGAAGAAGATGATGAAGAAGAATTAGATTTGTTAGTATAAGATTTGTTCATGCAAATCAAGCAGTTTGTATGAAGGTGTTTGTCTGAGTGTTCCTCATCAGCTGAACAGTTAAGACACCAAACGCTTTGAATTAACTCTCTGACCTACCGGCAAGTGTGAAAGACATTTTAGAAAACATGTTTAGAAAAGTACACCATTTATCAGGCTGACAGAATCAAATTTTCAACTTTCCAACAGCCCTTGAATGAACCATAAAGTTCTTCCCTCCTCAGCACAACGGATTCTCCACCACGGGCTCAGCTGTGACCAACACTGACTATAAGGCAGTGTGTCTACAGAGCAGAGAGGAGACGACACGATGGACTACCGGGAATATAAAACATACCCAATCAAGAAAATAAATGCAGCACGGCTCAAAAATGGTAAATAGAGGAGCAAGTTGTTGGAAGATCCATTCAGCATGGTGAAACGTCTTTCAACAGCTGACAGTCAAATTAGTGTGAAAAGGTTTTTAGAGGCTGTAAAAATGTAAATAGTTAAATATCTATAGTAGGTGGAGTCTCCATTTTTTTCCAATGTTGGTCACGTCTGTGGACACTTGGAAAAATGTTGTTGATTCCAGGTTTCTTACAATTTGTAAAACCAAATGACTCTGAGTCACGCTGCTCAGAAGACATTTCTTCTTCATGCTCAGCGTTCAGATGGTGAATCAGACACAAGTGTCCCTGATAACATCTGACATCATGCTGTGGATATACTAAACCTGAAAGTAGACAGTGCATCATTTACTTTTCTAATAATTGCCAGCGCAGAAGCATTTCTCTGAAAATGCGTCAGTCAAGAGAGCTGCTGTCTAACTATAGCTCTGAGCTGAAAACACTGTTCATCTGTGAGTGTGGTCACCTCGTGGTTCGTCCTCAGTGAAGAAGTGGGCGGCCTCCAGAGCAGACTCCGCCTCCTCAGGGCACAGAGCTACGACAAGCAAACAAACACAAAAACATTCATTCGTTTTTTTAAAACAAAACAGAAAGAAAGAACGGCTGTTGTATTGAAAGTCAGAGAAGCAGACAACAGCTGAAAGTTAGAGATATCGAGAATTTGAGATATTGTTAACCACAATTCATTTAAAGATATCTATAACTTGATAACAGATATCTGCAACTAAATTATGACTATCCATAAATCTAGTTTGAGATATCTACAATTTCATTCTGACTAGATGCAATTCCAGTCCAAGACATCTATAACGTCTTTTTGACTAGTTAAAATGTAATTAAAGATGCCATTACAGATGTCTTTAATGGAGGGGAGTTGAAGATGTCTTCACTTGGAATTGTCACTAGTCAGAATGAAATTGTAGATATCTCAGAATGGAATTATGAATAGTTATAATTTAGTTGCAGATATCCACTTCTCACACTGCGGCTATCCACAATTGAATTAAAGATATCTGTAATGAGAAAGCCCGAACACATCAATGGGGAAAGTGACGTGATTCGTCCTATGAGGAATTACGTTTTGGATATCTGTAATTACACCTGTGGATAGGAATAATGTCATTGTGGATATCCGAAATGTTCATTTTGACTAGGAGGAATTGAATTGCGGATATCTGTATTACATATCCAGACTAGCTATTAAATGTTAAAAGGGCTTGCCGTAGACAGCTACTGTCGTGATGGCGTAATGCATGGTGCCAATGGAGAAAAGGCTGCTCACAGAGATGAGTGGCTTCAACCAAAAAGTAAAAGAGAAGTTTGCAGAGCAGAAAGAGAGAAGAGACCATTTTGTTCCAATGGCAGGGCTCCAGACTGCATTTGGAACCTTTTTTTTTTGAGAGTGTGTGCTGTTGTGCGTGTTGTTTTTGTGGCTGTGTTTTTGTGTCTGTGTCCGGGGCAGGGGGCTGTTGTGTGTACCCCGGTGTTGTTGTGTGTTGTTTTTTTATCTTTTTTGTGTTGTTGTGTTTTTGCTTTTAAATATGGTGTGTTCTTGTGAAACACTTTTTGGTTTTTTGCAAAGACCATGTGTAGAATACATGTAACTGGGTTTAACCTCAGACAACTCTGACATGAGATCGCCCTAGTTTATTATTTTTAAAGTCATTTCTGGCCGCACACCCAACAGAGCGCATCACAGCCACCAACAGCATCCACCACAGCCTGCTGTGTGGGACGTTCAGGGAGCATCAGTAAATCATAGCGAGTTAATCTGGAGACCTGAATAGTGTTTTTTTCATTATTTCTGTTGTGTGTTTGAGTTTGTACAGATCCTGTAAATATTGATGAATGTTTGATGAAAGGTTTTGAAATGTATTTCTGGAAAGTCTTGATGATGTTAAATTAGATTATGATGAGAACATCCTCCAAAGGTAGAATATTTGCATTCCTGTAAATATTTNTAAAGGACCAGTGTAGCATCTGGACAAAACAAATAGGACCCGTCTAATGTCTGGACACATACAGGACCAGTCTAACTTCTGAAAAGGTAAAATGTCAGCAGGACTAGTCTGATGGTGGCACATGTCGGGGCAGCTGAGGGGACAGTAAATTTACACAGTTATACAAGCTGCACACTGACTGCTTTACATTGTAGCACAGTGCCATTCCTTCAGTGTTGTCCCACGAACAGATATAATAAAATATTTGCAGATATGTGGGGGTTGTACTCACTTTTGTGACATACTGTACATGCTGGGTTCCACCATCAAGCCACCTTTATTGATTGATTACTAATTGCAGACTCGATCCTCCTCAGCTTGGAGGATTCCAGAGTCCATAAATTTCTGCACACATGTTCTGACATTCTTCACAGACGATTTATTTTAGCTGCTCTTTGCTGGAGGGCTTGTGTTTTTCTGCCCTTCTCTTTAAAATACCCCAAAGGTGGTCTTTTGGTTCCAAGGCATGAGACACAGTCGTGCATGAGTCCATGAGTGACTTCAGCCGAAAAGTAAAAGAGAAGTTTGCAGTGCAGAAAGAGAGAAGAGACCATTTTGTTCCAATAGCAGGGCTCCAGACTGCATTTGCAACCTTTTTTTTGAGAGTGTGTGAACTGATGAGCATGATGATCATGGAGCTGTATTAGTGTCGCTGTAAACCGCAGTGGTGGTAAGTAGTATTTTTATAACTTCAGTGTACTGCGGTATTTACGCTTAAAGATGCGGCCTTCTCATGAAAAACAGAGCGGTTTTCTGCTCGTAGCAAAGACCATGTGTAGAATACATGTAACTGAGTTTAACCTCAGACAAATCTGACATGAAAACAACCTAGTTGATTATTTTTAAAGTCGTTTCTGGTCGCACACCCATCAGAGCGCATCACAGCCACCAATAGCAGCTACCACAGCCTGCTATGTAGTGATGTGTCATGCCCAAAAGCATCGTCTCTAAGATCCGATGCTTTTCAGTGAATCAGAAGAGCCAACTCCCATCGAGTGAGAGCCGGCTCCCAACTTTTGTTTCTTTTTTTGATGCTCAGTGGCTCAGCTCAGCTCATGGCAGAACTTTGTTTTGATTGGCAGCATGGCGGCCTTGTGGCCAATCACATGTGAGGATTTAGTGCCACAACTGATGTTATACTGGAGATGCGATGCTATCTTGAGGAGCCCCTCATCCAAAGAGCAGAAGACCCACTGAGCTGGTGGCGGGCCGAGGCCTCAGTCTTTCCCACCTGGTGAAGGTGATGGAGGGGAGGCAACATCTGTTCCCTCTGAGAGAGTCTTCTCAGAAACAGGGCCGATAATAACCGAGAGGAGAAATCAGCCCAGCCAAGCTGAGACAGTTAATTTTTTTGAATGCAAACCTGCACTAAGGATACACTGTTTGGTGTTTGAACTGTTTCTGTTCTGGTTCTGTTCTGGTTCTGTTCTGTGGGTTTGTTTGCAGTGTTTTGTTCATTGGTTTTCATGTTGAGTTGAGATTGAAAGTTTGATTAAAATATTAAACAAAAGTAAGAATGCCTGCTCTTGTGACATAAAAATACACAAAATTAGGCCCTCATACGGCTTAGGTATACGGTTTTCTTTTTTATCAGACAATGAGTATATTTACGAAGGAGCTGTTTTCACCTTTTTGACATGTTTCGACCGACACTTCAGTCTTTCTCAGAAACTTCACTGACATCTGTGGTGACGTGTCTTTATCAGATGGTGGTTTCCTGGAGGAGATGTGACCTGCCTGGCAATCTATCAGATTTGCTCAGCGGGTCACACCTCCTCCAGGAAACCACCAGCTGATAAAGACACGTCACCACATACATCAGTGACGTTTCTGACAAAGACTGAAGCGTCAGTCAAAACATGTCAAAAAGGTGAAAACAGCTCCTACGTAAACATACTCATTGTCTGATAAAAAAGAAAACCGCACACCTACAATCAGAGTAAGCAAAATGAACCTAATCATGCCATTACAAGGCTTCTCATAAAAACACTAAATTCAAAAGGGTTTATCAACGCACAAAGCATTCAGATTTGCCAAGTTAGGCTAAAATACGAGGCTACAGATGATAATAAATTAGGAGCTGTTTGGGAGCCAAAAGAGCCGGCTCTTCTTTGGGAGCCGTGCCACAAGAGCCGGCTCCTTGAAAAGAGCCAAACTTCCCATCACTACTGCAATGTGGGGCGTTTAGGGAGCATCAGTAAATCATAGCATCTATCGATAAGAAAATGTTCAGCAAGTCATATGTTTTGCCTTTGACCAGGTGCAGCAAAATGAGAAAGTGGGTCGTAGTGGTGCTACCAGTGAAAAGTTAGTCTGGAGCCCTGAATAGTGTTTTATTCATTAGTTCTGCTGTGTGTTTGAGTTTGTACAGATCCTGTAAATACTGATGAACGTTTGATGAATGGTTTTGAAATGTATTTCTGGAAAGTCTTGATGATGTTAAATTAGATTATGATGAGAACATCCTCCAAAGGTAGAATATTTGCATTCCTGTAAATATTTGTGCCTGATGTTAGTCATGTTCTCATTTCTGATTTAAAATAAAAGGTCATTTGCAGACTGTACTCCCCACCAAACATCTTCACCAGCCGCCACTGCATAGAAATATTTAGAGAGCTGAAACTATCAGAACTGTGCCATGCCATGCCAGACCGTGATGAGCAAACTCATAAGAAAAAGACACCGCAGTAGATCGCTTAAGTATCTAATTACTCTAAACTGTATCTCCTCACAGTAATCAGATTACTTCTAAATAGAACAGTAGAGTATTTGCTCTCATGTCAGATCACAAAGTACCAGTTTGGAGTCACTCTATTAAAAACACAGGTCCCACAGCAGGAACTCAATGCAAACAAAGTCAGTCTGAGATTCTAGTCTTTGATTTCTTCAATACTTCTTCGTCCACTTTTATTATTGATGACAGACTCAATCCTCAGTCCACTCATTTCTGTAATTTCCGTTGGAGAGGTTGTGTTGCTTTACCTTTCTCTTTAAAATAACCCAAAGGATTTGAATTCAAGTCAGGAAACACAGTCTTCCAGGTCGTAGTTTTCACTTTGTTCTTGTGCAGAAACTACTGTCTGACTTTGTTCTTTGGATGGTTCTCGTGGTGGAATATTGCTCTTCTACCAAACTTCTGCAGACTGGGAGTCATGCTGTCAGCCAGTATGTTGGTTCATCCACAAACATTCATGGTACATCTATAAATGTCATCTCTTCAACACCGTTTACACTCATGCAGCCTCATATCATCACACTCCCACCTCCTTGCTTCACTGTCAGGACTATTGATCCACTGTGGTCGTCCTGACCAAGAGAGGAACAAAACATTCTGGACTCCATTCAAGCCTAACAAATATATTTTCTTTAGCTACTTTTCATGTTTTTTTATCAACATTACTTCTGGACGTTTTGTTCTAAACAGCAATTTCTTTTCTTGTCCTCCGTCCATAGAGATTGTAATAATTATGAATAACAGTGGTAATGGAATAATGAGTGACACCAGGGGTAGAGGGTGTCTGGAGCAAAAGATGTGCTATTAATCACAGACATGGTGAATGACACAGCTCCAAAACTGAAACGGTTCTGCAGTTCTTAGCCCATTTTAGAGCCATGTCCATGCAGTCAGGCTGACTGGAAATCACAGATGACACAGTTTAGTTTCAGTGATCACAGCTGGATTCACTTTGGGTGCATTGAGTTTCACTTTGTGGCCCACATTGNGGAACTCAATGCAAACAAAGTCAGTCTGAGATTCTAGTCTTTGATTTCTTCAATACTTCTTCGTCCACCTTTACTTTTGATGACAGACTCAATCCTCAGTCCACTCATTTCTGTAATTTTCATTGGAGAGGTTGTGCTGCTTTACCTTTCTCTTTAAAATAACCCAAAGGATTTGAACTCAAGTCAGTAAACACAGTCTTCCAGGTCGTAGTTTTCACTTTGTTCTTGTGTAGAAACTACTGTCTGACTTTGTTCCTTGGAAGGTTCTCATCCTGGAATATTCCTCTGCTTCAAACTTTGCAGCTTGTTCATCTTTTCAGCCAGTATTTTGGTTCATCCACAAACATTCATGATGCATCTATAAATATCATCTCCTCAACACCTTCTGCTCTCATGCAGCCTCATATCATCACACGTCCACCTCCGTGCTTCACTGTCAGGACCATGCATCCACTGTGGTGGTCCTGGTCAGGGTCTCACCAAACATGCTGGACTCCATCTGAGTCCTTTTGTCTCATCAGACAGCAAATTTTCATCTGGAAGTTTTCTTCTGAACAACAAGGGCTTTTTGTTTTTGGTCCTGCATTCATAGAGTTTGACGTTATGAAGTGTCCTTCACATTGTCTGAGCTGACACAGTGGAATCATTTTAGAAGGATGACCACCACACCTCTGATTAGTGGCACTATGGCTCTTTCTTTTCCTCCTGATTAATGCTGCAACTGTATTTCATTTTTATTTGCTAACTGATCCTGGTTCCTTTTCCATCTTGGCCTGTCAACATAGTCATCCTAAAGGATTTGTTTTTGATTGTTAATCAGAGGAAATACTCCCCTGTCTAACTTATAAGTAGGCACATTACTGTCAGGTGATACAGTTTACAATTACTGGACATTGAAGTGATATTACACATCGCTGTTTGCTGATGCAGACCGTAGATAGGGCTTAATAAATTGCCTTTATCTCTAACTTAATTAAAAAATAACATTGAATTTCATCAGCTGTTTCTACTCACGTCAACAACAACAAATCAGTCAAACCACAACATGAGGAGGCTAGTCCCACAGGCGACCTGCACAGAATCAGTCTCCATGGTAACATGTTTTTGTTTCAGCGTGACAGGTAAAGTCTGCAAGGATTGCTGGAGGTCAGGCTGAACCTGGCGTCCAGGTTTGGAGAAACAAGTGGGCTGTGGGACGTTACCTGGAGGGAGGTGAAGCTTGTAGAGCAGCTTGAGTTTCTCTGTCATGTCACCGTGATACATCCCACCTGCAGACACACAAACACACACTGAGAGGACACCAGTTCTGATCCAGATCTGGATCGGAATCTACATCTGCATCTAAATCATGATTCGGATGTGGATCTGGACTAACTCAGGCCGGTGATGAACTCCTTGAAGTTGACCAGCACGTCCTGGTTCTGGTCCAGGAGTCTGAAGAGGCGGGCTGACAGTGTGGATGTGTGGCCTCCACAGGTCCAGGGAGCGAGTGCAGAGAACAGCTGAGCAAACTGGACCGGGTCGATGCGGTACTGCTCCAAGTACGGCAGGCTGGGATCATGGCGCTCTGCAGCAGAGCTAGTGGAGCCCCAGTAACAGCTTGTCATGTGTTTGGACTGAACCAGAGACAGAGAGACGGAGACAGACCGAGTTAAACATGGCGGACTGGAACCTCCAGCTCAGCTTCATGGAAACACAGTAAAGAAAACTATTGGACTCTGAATGAAACATCTGACCGTAAAGAGACAGAGAAAAACAGAGTTAAACATGTCTGACCTTAAAGAGACAGTAGAGCTCCTCCAGCTCCTCAATACTGAAGGCCGACTCCGTCATCATCGCCCTTACCTGCACACACACACACACACACACACACACACCTGTAAACTTCATCTTTGTTAGCATCTTGTTTAGCATGTTAGCCTGCAGCATGCCAGCTCCACCCACCACACTCCTCTTGGCTGTGTCCTCCAAAGACTGGATGACTTTCAACCTCTGCTTGAACCTCATCTGCTCGATGACATCGGAGCGCAGGCTGCCAAACTTCTGCTCAGAGAAGAAGAAGAGATGATCACAAAGACAGGCTAAGAAGAAGACGGAGACACGGGAGCTGCAGGATTTGGAATGATGCTACACTGAAGGTGGTTCCCTTATAGAACCACGAAACGCGACTGATGGAGGTTAACCTTCATTTCTCACCGCAAAATAAAGTCAAAAAATAAAATATGCCTTTTTGGGGTTCAGAAACTGAGGTACGATCACATTCTTGTGTAACTGACATCAGTCTGACCTCGTAAGACGACTTGATAAGGTCGAAGACATCGATCTCAGGTGGGGGTTCGTCTCCGCTCGTCAGCAGGGCATGCAGGTGAGGGATGGGCGGAGCTACTGTCTGTTTGTTTACAACATTATCCAGGTACCTGCAATACATGTGTGATTACAGTAATTAAGCCTAAAACACAGTGAGTTAAAGTCCACTTTTATAAAAGTCTAATCTAAACCCAGTTTGGACCTGGTCTGGATTCTACCTGAACTCAGTCTGAGCCCAGTCTGGACTCTGTTTGAATTCAGTCTGGACCCAGTCTGGATTCTTACCTGCCCAGAATGGTCATGGCTTCTCCTTCGTCACTGCAGGCCAGCAGAGCATCCATGTTGTCGTGGAGGACAGCCAGCGCCACCTGCAGGCAGATTCAGAGACCAGTGCTGGAGGTCAGAGATCAGAACTGGAGGACTCTGACCATGTGATGTTACATCACAGCACACCTGGACCGACAGGCATGAGCTCCACTAACACTGTGGACCACCACTGACTGCTGGTATGTGCTCATTCAGTAACTAGTGACAGCGGGTCGATACCTGGAAGGTGACTTTAATGCCTTCGTAGAAGAAGCAGTCGACCAGTAGGACGGCGCTGTCGAAGGGCATCACAGACAGAAAGAGGGTAAGGAACCAGGACAGGCTGATGGTGGAGATGACGCCCAGCTCCTGCATGTGTTCATACAGTAGGGGCAGGAAGGCCCTGGTCAGCTCCTCAAACACCCCCTGATCCACCAGAGCTCCTGTTTGGACAAACACAACCCGAGGGTTGAAACCCTGAGTTAACTAAATGTAACTCAATAAACCAGAATCAAATTCATGGCTGAAAACAGACATATCACACCCTGACTTAAGTGGACTTCAGGAGGAACCAGATTCTCTGGACCTCTGTCTGTTTTGAAGGATGGTGGTCCTGAGTTACCTGACATCCACCTGAATCTGTCCGTAACTGTCTCTCACTGCTGCACACTGTCCACTCTGAAACTGGTCGTGGATCTTGAGCTTACTGGTCCTTGACCTGTTACTGATCCAGGTCTTGTTATGGACCAGGTCCAGATCTGGACTTTGGTTTTACAGACTTACAACGCTTGTCTTAGTACGTAGCTGGTCTTGATCAGGACTAAGTGGTACTGACCTACGACCCTGGTGTTGTAGTAGTCGGGCAGCATGCGCTCACACAGTGCGACCAGCAACCAGAAGGCCTCTTCCTCGGTGCAGTAGAGTAGCAGGACAGAGGTGACGATGTTCATCGCCTAGTAAAGGAAAGAACGACTCAGGTCAAACGAAGACTTATTCAGGGTTTCCGTTGGTCCTTATGGTGCAGGCGTGTGGCCTAACTGCCTGATATCACATATTTGTGGCTTGTAGCTCCGCCCACTACTTCCGGACAATGCATCAGTTTTTAAACATTTCACTACAGACTGTTATTAATTCTGACACGTATTCAGCTGTAGGCAGAGTTTTTCAGTTACCTGCTGCTGCAGCAGCATAAACACCTGACTTTACTTTAGCCAGCCTACCTGGCAGTATCCGATGCCCGGGTTGCGGTGGGCGTAGGCAGTGAGGACACGGCGAAGAGCAGCGATGCCCATCTCATTCTGGAAGGCTCGGTGTTCAGGCATGGACCGGTGAAGGTCGCGTTCAATCTCCTCTGTGGCCAATGAACACAGCCCCATGGCCTGCTCCACGAGGTCGCCATAGTACCCAGGGTGGGACGCCATCTCGTTCTGCGCTCCTGGATGGACAGGTGGAGAACAGGTGGATACATAAACGTTAGAGTAAGAACCAGGAGTTGTAACCACAGCTACCCTCACAGATGAATGAATGAAGTGATGAATGAGTGAACAATAACCAGAGAACAGCAGCCACAGTTCTCCTCGTAGACGTTCAGGGATCCCGTTCAAGACCAGTTCTCTGGTTCTGGAGGTTCGGTACATGCAGACACCTCGACCAAACTCTGAGAAATGGATGTTCCACGCCTCCTCCTTCATCTTCTCCTTCATCTGCAGGAGGGAAGAAAGATCTGTTGATCCAGCAGTACCAGAACTCCACAGTATCTAACAGTACCAGACTCTGCAGTATTAAACTGCTTGGTATCTAACAGTACCAGAACTCTGCAGTATTAAACTGCTTGGTATCAACAGTGCCAGAACTGCTCAGTATCCAAAAGTACCAGAACTCCTCAGTATCTAACATAAACAGACGTTCTTGGTATCTAACAGTACCAGAACTTCTCAGCATATAACTTTACCAGAACTAGTTGGTATTACTGGGAGTAGAACTCACAGCTTTGGGTCCCAGGTCCTCCAGGGCATCTTGGTGGTACAGCTGCAGCAGACCCTGGCTGGCTGTCGGCAGACCAGAGTGGTACTGACGGCCCTTGTGGACGGACTCCGATCCCGCAGACGAGGACGAGGGGACACTGGAGGACGCCTGAGGACACAAACAATCAGACAAAAGAGAAATGAGACTGGATTGAAGGAGGAACCGACCCTCAGTCTGAGCTGTGACTGACGTACCGACTGTCCAATCAGAGACAGCGGGCTGGTGTCGCCCCATGAGCTATCGGGCGTCCGCTGCAGGAAGTCAGAAATGCGTTGGACCAAGAAGTCTCTGTCTTTGAGGTTGGCGAACAAAAAGGTCATCTTGTTCTTGGTGCTGATGGAGACTGGACATGGCAGGACGCTGCTGCTGTCCGCCTTCTCCACAATGGACACCTAAGGAGCAGAGGATCATGGGTAAAATTAGAAATCCAGGGCTGTGTTACAAACTGCATACTTTGGCTATGTTCAAAACCACCTACTTTACTGCAATATGCAGCATGTACTGCATAATCAGTACTGGATTTCATAGTAGGATGAAGCAAGTACTGCACACTTGTAGCATTATGTAGTATGTACCGCAGTATTGTTTTATGTTGCAGATTACTACAGCAGGTTTAGTTGTTTTTTGGTTGTTTTTTTTTAAAAGCAGAAATAAACAACAGCATGGCTAATGTGCAGCATATTGTTCTGTGAATGATTTGCCCAAAGATGAACTTTTACTTGGCGACACCTGTCTGACTAAAAGCGTTTTGTTGCATATCTTCAAATGTATCTGGAGCTTCAGCTGGTTCTCCTGTTGTTTCAGTAAAGTTTTCTTTACTTCAATCAAACTTACCTCCTTTTCATCAAACCTCCTGACTGACAGCATTTTAATGTTTGTTTTGCTGCTGGTTTGGTCAAATTGTGAACATTTTATTCAGCAGCTTTTAATTTCATATTTCCTTTGTAATTTCACACATACAGCCGAACCACACACCAGCGCCGTCCAGCGCAATCTATTTCCTGAACTGCTCACCGGCTCCATCTATTTCCTGAACTACCAGCCTGACCGACCCGGTTCAGTGGTACCTCTCTCAGTGGAATGATGAGCTGACACAGATCCTCCTCTTTGCTGTTGAAGCAGATGTAGTTGTTGGAGATGAACAGCTGGCCGACCACGTGCATCTTGGCAAATGGCGTCCACAGCGTGCAGTCTGTGTGTCCGTCCAGCCGCTCGTCCTGCGTCAGCCGGAACATGGCCCGGTACCGCTCGTTCTTCGCCCGGGCGTCCAAATCCCTGCAGAGCGAAACAGCTGATCAGGCAGGATGACAACACAGACTCCAGACTGAGAGACAAGTGATGTCTAAGGACAAACTGAGAGACAGACAAAGCCAGTCTGATGCTTCAGAGGACAAACTGAAGGCGAGCACCCTGTGGACACAGAGCTGATGTCAGTCTGTTTGTCAGGGCTGAATGATACACAAACAAACCTGTACCTTGACAGAAATGAGTCTCAATTTTAGTTGGAATGGTATTTTTTCGTCATTTTTTTTCCATTAAGACGATTGTAAAAGTGATGACGTGAGTTTAGCTGTCTGTCTTCTTACATCTGGACAATCTGATGTGTCTGCAGCACAACAGAGCCTTATTTGTAATGTGTTGTGCCACGTTTTACTAAAAGATTGCAGCACCTGTGTCCTGTATTGGATACTACACGTGTCTATATTGCAATTTGGACAATATTCTGATAATGAGTTCAGCTGAAATAGCTCTCTGAGACCCTTCATGCCCTCTGATGTCAGACTCAGGGTTATGAACGGAGTGAGACCTCTTCAGCACTGAGACATTCTTCAGCGTCTTGCAGGGTTTGGGCAGCGAGCGGTCGGCGGCGAACGCCTCGTTGTCGAGCAGCTGACGCATTGCGATGTTGGCGAGTTGCTCCATCAGCTTGAAGGTGTCGTTGATGTTGAGAAACATGGAGAAGAAATGTTCGGTGTGACGGGTGCTCACACGAATGCTCTCTGGAAACAGCAGCGTGGCGTTCTTCTCCAGCTGGGTCACCTCGGTCCACTGCACCACCAGGGTCACTGAGGTCAGAGAGACATTATGGCAGCTGTTTTAACACCAACATCCAGACTGGATTTGTGCTGCGGATATACGTGACTCACGCAGTCTAAAAGAACATTTCAGATCTCAACATCGTCATTCTTCAGGACAAATTACTTTTACTTCGGTGTGTTTCTCATCACAGATATCTACAGTTCACACTGTCTAAGCCTCACATGAGCATCACAACCATTCAGATTAATGAGGTTTAAGATACCTGCAGCTGTTATTCTGACTAACAGAGTGATTACCAATACGCATATTAACGTAAAAGCATATCAACAGCCTGGATATTAGTGTAAGAAAGTAACAATAAAATTAATAATAGCGTAAGAAAGCATCAATAACCTGAATATTAATGTAAAAAATATCAATTGCCTGTATTTTAACATAAGAAAGTGGCAATAACCTGGATAATAAAGGACTAAAGTATGCAGAATCTGGATATTAGGGGAAGAAGTATCAATAACCTGGACATTAATATGAAGAATGATCTATAACCTGCATATTAGCAGTAAGAATGACCACCAAGCTGGATATAAATGCACTAAAGTGTCAATAACCTGGATGTTAACGTAAAGAATAGCCAAAAAATTGGATATTGAGAAGCACCAATAACCAGAATATTAACACCATAACAAACAGAATCACATGCACAGTGGATGACATCATTAAACTCTGGCCTGTGATTGGCTGCTCATACCCTCTTTGCCCAGCAGGAAGGAGTAGAAGCACAGATGGTTGACGGACAGGTAGAGCCAGCCCTGCCGCGGCACGCGGCCCTTCCAGTAGCTGCACGAGTAATAATTCACCAGCTTCTCCTCGTCGGGCATCCCAAACAGCCTCCTCATCTTTAGCTCCGCCTCCCGAAACTTCCCGCTGTCCTCCTCCTGCTCATTGCTCGGCTTCAGCCGGTTCTCCTCTGCGATGATGCCCTGCAGGGAGGAACACCGCTCAACAGGAGAACACGCAACCACAACGTGACAGTATGCGGGTGGTTGACATGCCAGCAGGGTACATGACGGTATTTATGTTAGAGAAACATGTAAAGCTAACAGAAGTCAGTGTAGCAGGTAATAAGCACCGGCCTTCCACAGATTCTTGCTAAATCGCCTGATCACACTTGTTGCTGTGATGGTTACCGACACGTGAAGAGGCTGAACAGAGACGATGGTGGCAGTCTGGTAGCAGAATTACATTATGTGACGTATAAACTGCTTTTGTAGTTGGAACAAGTGTCAAAAACCTACATATTAACTTACAAAGATGCAGGGTTTACGGTTTACTGCAGGAGCTTACTGTTTACTGCAGGAGTTGAGTGTTTACTGC